CAGATGTCCAGTGTGGAGAAGAGCTGCAGATGAGTAAACACTCCACTGAGGTGGCCCGAGAGGCTTCACGTTGCTGTAATAAGGGGTTGAGGTTCAGCTCAGCTCTTAGTCTCTCGTAGCTGATTTGAGCTACCTATGGAGGTACTTTATGGAGATGGCAATTTGGAGCTCTCTGAGGATGCTTGGCCACCCCTGGGGCCCCCTGCCTCCCTCTTGGTGTGGATCATTTTGCAGTCAGTCCAGCAAAGTGCTTCTCGAGCACCAGTTTAACTGCATTTAATTTGGGTTATTTTCACACGTGGGCCTGGTGAGGGTTAAGGTCACAGTGCTGCTACAGACCTGGGCTGGGGGACGTGAGGAGTTCATCACCTTCACCCTCTCCCTTGCAGCAGACACAGTTACAATTGCCTTATGGCTACAGCCCCCAATAAGAAGCTGTTATTTCCAAAGCCCTGTCTGTTTTTATGTCTTTTTTTTTTTTCCCTCCTAGCTGTACGAGCCTGCTAAAAATAGCCTTTTCCCACAAACCTTGCTGTGTTCTGCATATCTGACCGGTATGACCCGTCTACTAAACAAACAAAACTCTCTGTTCTCCGTTTGTTCTGTTTTTGCTCTATGAGAAAGAGTTTATCTTCTTCCCCCTTCTCTTTCATTTTTTGTTTTGTCCTTTTCGCCAATTCTGTGCACCTCTCAGCTCCTGTTGGCTTCCAGTGCTCCCCTCCTGTTGCTCTACCTGCTGCAGAGGGGTGTTTAACCTTCCCACAAGCCTGACTCGGCTCCCCAAAAAGAACCATTAGGGGGAAAAAAGAAGACTTTATGCCATTTTAGTGACCAGAATCAGCTCATCCAAGAAATCCAAATGAACAGCGCGGTTCTTTTGTGGGGGGAAGCACTTCATATCCTGCTACCTCTGTCCTTGAAGCACGCAGCTGTGCTGGTTTTGCGGCCCTTGGGCCTGTGGCAGGTTTCCAGCGTGGGTCAGCCTCTCCCGGTGCATCGGGGCCGTCGGGATCCGCTGTCGGAGCAGGGTGGCCAGCGTGGCCCCCGTGCTGGCCGCCGCGGTTGTCGCTGCTCAGCGCGGCAGAAAATCGGGTCAAGCGGCCGCGGCGCCGCGAGCGGCCGCGTCCGAGAGTCGGCGGGAACGGCAGAGGAGAGCGAGGCTGTGTTCAAACCACCTCCCTCCGTCAACTCGAGTCCTGGGGAAAAAAAAGTCCAGAGAGGTGGAAAAGGGTAGGGAATTTCTGCTCTTGAGCAAGCCGTATCTGCAGAACAGTCGATTAATTTATTTAGCATTAACCATCCAGGGCATAAGCAGAAAACGGGGTGTGCAAAGTACACACCAGAGGTGATCAAATGAAGTTGAGTGACATGATGTTTGAGTGAACTACGTTGTAATAACTGTACTCAAAAGATGACATCAGCTTTCCTGTGTAATCTTAGTGGAGTGTCAGTGCCCCAGCACAGGAATGAGCTGCCGCCTTCCAGAAATAGCAGCAGAAGATGCAGGGAGGGAGAGAAAAAAAAAAATCAAAAAGGTTGTTTAGTCCAATCACTTTTTTTTTTTTCCTCCAGAGACAGAAAACTAAATATAGAGATGTAGTAGTATGATTTAATGCCCAGATTGCCTTTTTTTTTTTTTCTTCTCATTTAAGGACTTTACTTTCCCAACACCGTGGGAAGTGCCTTGTGTTTGTAATGGGGAAGAGCCCAGGATTTGTCACACAGCACAGCAGCAAGTGAGACCTCGGAGGGGTTTCTGTGTGGCTGTGCAGGACCTTTCAAGGCTAAAAGCCTTTGATAAGGGGCAGCCGCAGCAGCAGCTGTTTTGCCTGTTGTTCGGAGGGAGTTGTACATATGGATTCATCTGTGCATTAACCGAGGAGCTAAAGGAAGGTAAAGCTGCCTGGACAGCTGGGGGTTGCCCCTAGCCAATTTGTGCAACAGGTTCACATATATGCAACATACCTGGACACATTTTTAAAGGGTGACAAACACCTCCCTGCTTAGTGACAAAGGGCCTTTCCTACTAAAAGCTGTAATTCTGCGTGCTGGCTTGTTTGTGCTGTCCTTGGCTGCTTTTGTCTCCCACGTTACATGCGTCGTCTCCGCAAGCTCGCTTCCCTTTTTGTGTTACGCAGCACTGGGTTCATCTGAGGGGAAAAAAACAAATGCTCATCCTCAGCTTGCTGCTCTGTCAGCTCCATCCTTGTTGTAAGAGACTGCTCACCAAACCATATGCCGCATTCCTTCAAACTGTTCCTTTGCTGCAAAATGAAATGCTTTTAGCAGCCTTTTGTGACCAAGGCTCTGGCTCCGTTTCCTTTACATCTTTCCATCAGTGTTTATGTTCATTGATAAGATCTCCTCGAGCCAAAGCAGTCCCAGCTCTCCCAGCCTCTCCTTGCATTTCAGGTTTTCTTTCCCATCTTCAGGACCCTTTCCTAGGCTTGTGCTGGTGGCACCATGTCTGTCCCACAGCAGAGAGCCCAGAGCAGGACACAGCGCTCCAAGGGATCCAGGGATCATCTCCTTGACCTGCTGTAGCCAAGGATGAGCTCCTGCCCATGCTCTTCCTCACCTGATGTTAGAGGAAAGGCACAGTGGGAGTCTGTCCTGAGCTTTCAGCTTTTCGTGCCATTGGTTTTGTTCTCAGGCCAAATAAGACCAAAATGAGGAGGTTTGGATTTTCTTGCTTGTGAAAACGTTGTCTTCAAGAAGGGTCACATTATTAAATAAGGAGAAAATGTGTCAGTTTACCCTTGTGCTGTCCACAGCGAGTCATTTCTCCACAATTGTCACTTACTTTATTCCTGAGACTAAATTAGGACCTCCATTTCAAACACCTGTAGCTTTTTCTTAGTCGCTATAGTAACCTATATTTTATTTCCCAACCAAGCCTAAGCAACATACGTGATAATTTAAGACTGACTTTGGTGTTTCACCAGTGACTCCAGCTGCCGTTGGTCCTTTCAAATGGGCAGGATTTTGCCTTTTCCTTTTGGATTCCTGGCTCTGAGATGTTCCCTTTCCTGCTCTTCAGTACTGGCGCTTCTTATATGTCTCCTTCCATTCCCACTGTGTATCACTTCTTCAGTCGCTTAGGCATGAAGAAGCCTCTCTGTCCTCCCTCAGGCTCTTGATACCTTTTTTTTCTCTACACTTGCTGCTTAGGCCAGGACTTTCCTTTTCAAATAAGTAAGTTACTTCTGTGTAAATATACTTTGCCTTAGGTGTGAAAGCACTTTTCTAGAGCAGTTCCATACTGCTGGGTATGGTATGTGAGCATGTGCAGTGCATCATTTGAAAAGGGTGGTAAATAGATTCGAAAAGAAAATAAAAATATAAGAAACCCCAGCAAAATGCCATCTGACAGTTATCTGAGATGTATAGACAATGTCCGGGATGTCTGCAGAAAATATGTCCCACGAAACGCATGCCAGTTTTCTGGGATGTTTTTTGAAAGACCTTTTGAAAAATGGGATTGATGCCCAGTTTCCTGCTGGAATTAAATGAAGCCAAGGTGAAGGTGTAGGCATCATGTGTGAGAGTGCACGCGAGGGTTTGTGTGCACAGAACACTTGTGCTTCAAACAACGCGCTGATTGCCCAGTCACAAATAGCCATGCAGGAGAAAATGAGCATTTTCAGAGGCTTAATTAGATGCTTTCATCTTCTGTTTTAGGATTTGATTAAGTATTCCTCTTATGTCATATGTAAATATTGGCAGTTTGTGCCATGGAGCGCCCGCTGATCCATTTGCAGTAACCTGCTTTTTTCTTTGCATGGGAAATCAATACAAAGCTTAATTCAGCCTGGAGAGATATTTATTACAATAAATTCCTGCAAGTATCTGAAATGGTCACTTTATACTGTTGAGTGGAAACACTATTCTGTTAAGAGTAGTCTTAGCCCCTAAAACATAGGAAGGGCCAGTGTCTCTGCCGAAGAGACGTTGATATTGGGCAAATAGCACAAATAACATTTTCTGTAACGTTTCTGTTGGTGAGGAGCTGGATCACACGTAGGTGGTTTGTGTCCTACCCCAGCCTGGTGCCTCGGCCTTGGAGCTCTTAATGCCATTAGTGCCCTTTCCAGGCAAACTTTCATTTGGGGTAAATCTGCTTTGCACCAAGATGCCTTGTTAATGCTAGTGTAGAAAAGGAGAAAACCAGGGTGCAGCAGTTTATAAACAAGAAAAATCTATCCCCTTGTCCTTGCGTTGAGTCTGTTAAGGTCACCGCTGCTCGTGTTGGGCGGCTCCTGCATCCGTCTCCTGGCTGGAGGGGTTTCACCCGTGGGTCAGCGCTGCCACAGGCAGAGCTCGTGGGTTGTTGGAGCTGATGCCTGGCTTCATCAGAGGTGTTGCAGGTGGTCTGAGGCAGGACGGTGCTGCTCCAGCAAATAATCAGGAATATTGTCTTTCACCCATTCTGTCCCGGTGCCCAAACCAAACGTGGGGTGATTGCAGGTGCAGACCTTCTATTCTGACTCCCAGCCAAGAAAGGCTCTTTCTTACTTTAATGTTTTGGCTTGGAAGTTTAGTTGGTTGTGGTTGGAGTAGAAAATAGATTTCTTAAATCTAGTCCATCAACTTCTCAGTGCTTGTTTTTGCTTATGAATTCATTGTATTTGTGTCTAATTTTCTTTTTTTTTTTCCTGTGGATATGCACAAAACCAAGCAAAAATCTGTTAGAATATGTAAACAAACATGGGAGATGATACAAAGTACTTTGAGTTTGTTTCCGGAAAATGTAAGGTTGCCTAGACATAACTGTAAAAAAATGAATGCAAGAATATGATTAAACTGTCCTATGATTAAACATTCTAGTTTGAGCGTGGTTTAATAGTGATTTTACTTCAGAGATGACTGTTTCTGTTTAAAGTAGCTTATTGAGTATATTGACTGTTTCAGAATCTCAGCTAATACCTTTTCTTCTTCTTTTCCGTTTTACAGACGACTTTGACATTCTCTCATGCAAGTGGTCTCCGAGTAGTCTTTGAGGAGAATTTCTATGTAGCTCTTTTACTGTCAAGAGTGCTGCAAAAATGATTACTTCAGATTTGCCAGTACTACAGTGAGTACACATTTATTTATATATTTGAATTTTGCAGCTTTTAAAAGGCAGAAGTCTGTGGAAAGATGGTCATATGGCTAAGGCAAGAGCTTGAGGGAAGTGTAGTTCAGTGTGATTGTTGCAGGCTTTCCGTGTGGTATCATAGGCTCAAAATCTGTGTAAGAATTAAACACTTCTAAAAATTGTGTTTTGTTATACGGCGATTTAGCTTTGCTGTATCTTTTTTCCAAATCTTTACTCCTCTTATGCTTCTGAATTTGGTAAGATTTCAAAAATGTGCATCTATTTTAATCATTATTGACCATATTCATGTATCCCTGATGCATGCTTTTTCTTATGATGAACTGCACTTGTGCAAAAAATCCCTTCAGCTTCTGCAGTTGAAGGCAGCTAGTGGTGTCAGTGTGTTTTGATTTCGTTGGCAAATACAGCTAGCTTACACAACTGGGTACATCACTGGAGCTAGATGTAGTCAATTACGCAGACAACCCAGTGGAAGTCTGTAATGAGAGGTGCTAGACACCAGCCAAGTAGGATGAAGAAAGGAATTTTAGAAACGGGAACAAAATAGAACTTTATTTGTCATGACTTAATGCTAAGTTGTTTGCTGGGAATGTTCATATGAGAATGGAAATAATCAGAGTGTTTAAAATATCATCAGTTTAAAATTTGAGCTGTGTTCCAAAGCTAAGTTTTTAAGCTCCCTTATTTAATGAATTGAATGTTTGAGCAATTGTATTTTTTTTGTCTGACTTTAATAATATGCACTGCTTTAACTTTTATTTTTTGAAATGGTTTTAAAAGATATGAAAAATGGCAGTTTTCATTTTGGGTGAGTGCCTAGCTGAAAAGAAGGCTGATCCGGCTGGATAGCACTGAGAAGGGAAGCGTTAGCATGGAGGACGTTGCGGGTGAACTTTGAGGGTAATTTTAGAATGACTTTTCTTATTTAATATTTTTATGGATGTGCCATGATCCTAAAGTAAGAGAGTGGTGGAGAAATGCGCCCAGGACGAAAAGATGGAGAACACTGTCAACGTACTGGTGGAAAAGGGGTGCTCCCATTCCCAATTGAAGCTGTTGGATGTAATAGCATAGATTTTACGGTTAAAAAATGTAAAACTGTTCTGTATCCCTGGTGCTCACCAGCTGGAAAACCTGAGCGACATTAAAGATTGGCATGTTGCTTGGTCAGAAGGTGACTGTGAGCCACCAGCATTAGGGAACTGCAAAACCCAAAAGGCAGCACACTTGTTCTGTATTCCCAATGGAGCTGGGGCTGCTGGTGAGATACTCTCCTTCCCTGGAGATCTTCCCAACCTGCCTGGATGCCGCCCTGTGCTCTGGGTGTCCCTGCTGGAGCAGGGGGTTGGACTGGATGATCTCTAGAGGTCCCTGCCAACCTCAACCATTCTGTGATATAGTTTTGATTGCTCATAAACAACACGAGAGGTTTCTTTTTCTTACCAAAAAAAAAAAAAATCAGTAGAATTTGCATATGAAGATTTGAGGACTCTCCTGAGCGCACAAACACTGTCTAGTGTTAACAAGGTATTCAGAGAAAGTGGTAACAGCTAATTCAGCAGATCTCAAGCAGACAAAAAGGAATCTGGCTAAGGATGAGAAGATCTGAAGCAATCTTCAGTTTGGGATATATTAGCTTCACCCGTTCAGATCTGAAAAGCCACAATGCACAGAGAGAAAGGCAAGGTTTTCTTTCCAGCCCTTAAATAAGCAGCTTTAATAAGGATTATTGTAATCTTCTACCACTCGTGTGGCCTATATCCACTTTCATGCCCTTTTAAAATCTTGTAGGCTATCCCCTTTTAACAAGGGGTCCTAAAGTCAGTTTGATATATTACTGTACTTCACTTGGGCCCATGTCAAATATTCCTTCACAAACTCTTCTCTGTGTTGAGGGAAACTGAGAGGAGTTCAGAAAAAGAAACTCCTTCTGAATTTGCAGAAGTGGCTTCTGAATGCAGTGAAGGTAGGATTTAAATTCTTTGTATTTCAAATGTAGCAAAAAAAAAAAAAACCCACCCCAACAACAACAAAAAACAGCAACAACAAAAAACCCCTCTCTGGCTCATTTGACCTAGGTAACCGAGTCTTCTCTCGGTGGGATGACTCATTTGCTGCAAGGCGTGTTCCTCTTCAGGTTTTGAAGATCCATGAAAGCTGATTCATCCATGATTCATGAGCCTGTGCATTTAGCCATTTCTCTTTGTGAATGTGTTTTTTCAGAAGGCTGAGTCTGGTGGTAGGGATTGCTGAATTTATCACAGCTAGAACCTGAAGCCACCTCCGTGACCCTGGTAAACGTTCGGATAAGTATTTAGTAAAGCTGATAAATGGATGTAGGTTTATGGTATGATGTTTTTCAGGAGGGTAGCAAGAGATTTATAGTGAAGGCTTTATGTAATAGTAGGAGGAAGGCAAACTTACTTCCACTGATTGATTTCAGAGATGCGCAATTTACTTTGTCAGTGGCAACATGTTCTTCAGAAGCCTGATACAGCAGAGAGCTGTCCAGTAATCTGCAGTCTCTCCATTGCCGCAAGGCTTGTCTCAAGGGCTACTTACTGTAATTCAGAGCAGAATTTGGAATTTCCAAGATGAATCCAAGTTTTCTGGATGCCTTAGCCACCACAGCAACCAAAAAGCAGAGTAAAATAGTGCTCCTGCAGGGAGGTAGCACTTGTCTGCTTTACTCTGTCCACTCCAGTCTTCTGGGTGTCCTCACACTCTGCCAAATTCTCTTGTCTCTGCTATGTCAAGGGTGTCTTAGAGAGGAAGGGTTTAGCCTTCAGCACCACTGCTCTCCTCCTATCTCTTGAGTGAGATAGGTCTTAGGCCCATATTGCTCTGCATCCCAGAAGCTTTGGGAAGGATAAATGGTAAATTGTGGCTAGGCCAAAGCTTTTCCCTCAGGTGACTAGTCACACACATAAAATAGGCACAGGGTAATTCTGGGCTATTAAGATGTGGATGACTGCCACTAGATAAATTATTTCCTAGCAGTTCCTTAAGATGTGTGGGGAATGAGGGAGATGGATGCTGGCCAGAACCTCACTAAGTGTTAAAAACCTCACAGAACTGTGAGTGGCCGAGAGATGCTTTACTCCTCCTCTGAGTTCAGAAAGGAGGAAAAGGGGGCCTGTTTGTGCTCCCAACCAAAGGAGTGCAAGGCCATTTTGTGCAGTAGGCCCGTGTGTGAGCCCCTTTTTGGGGACTTGCAAAGAATTATCGAGTGTCCAAGTGCTGTGGTAACAGTAAAGTAGTCCAAGACTGTAGGTTGTTCTGAATCATATCAACCCTTCCCAGATAATGTGAGCATTGAAGGGAACACTTTTTTTTTGTGCTTTCCCCTTTCATTTGCTCCTTGGAGGTGCTCCTTTCAGACTGAGATTCTTTGCAGGAAGAAATCTTCCTGCCTCACACGCTGCCTGGGTGAGATTAATCCGGTCTAATTTTAGGCACTTACACCTACATCGCTTGTCTAGATAACCTTGCCATCGATGGAGAGAAAAGGACATTTATAGAGCATGAGCTGTCTGACCTATTTTGGGCACCAACCTTAGGACGGGGTATGTTGTGCCTTGGTATTTTCTAAAATTGAGGTGAGATGAATCTATCTCACTTTAGTGCTGATGTATTGAGCCTCTCCAGAAAGGCTTCCAGCAAAGCACTGAGATTTTGCCAGGAAAGGTGCTAGCGAAGCAGGGATGTGATGCTGAGGTAACGCTCTGCTTACCACCCAGGGAAGGCTCTCAATGATTCAGCTGTCCCTTTGGAATTCAGTTTTCCAAAGCTACTGAAATATCCGGAACCGACTATGCCGGTTGTGCTAGAGCCAGACACAGGCTGCAATCAGATCAAGCTGTCTGGGAGCGGGATGCAAGCAGGATCACTGAACACTTTGATTAATTTATTTGTATAGCTGCTGCATTGCCAGGGAGATGTCTGAGCCGTTTGCCTGCAGGATTACTGAATCTGGTTTTAATAGAGGAAAATCTTTGCCTTGACGATGGTAGGTGTATGTGCAGCGATTCCCCCAGAACAGGCAGCTTGCCTAGGCTGCAACATGCCCTACAGTTGGATCTGCAGAGATCAGGGAGAAATGCAGTTTCCCTGCAGAGAGCATGGCTTTAATTTCCCCGGCAGCAACAGAAAGCAGCAAACATTTTCATGTGGGATTTTTCATTTCTGTCTTCAAAAGTTATAGGGGAAAAAAAGGCTGTCATTTGTGAGCCGGGATGTGTTTTTTGTCAAATGGAGCTGCAGGATGAAGGCCCGTCTCGAACACAGGCCAGACGGGGCCGTTGCCCCCCGGCCGCCTTTCCGGCTGCGTTTGCTGCTTCGCTTTTTCCCAATGTGGTCCTATTTAATCACATTTTTCTTAACTATGTGTGGAGTTGTTTGGAGTTTTCTTTTGGTTTGCCTTTGGGATGTTTTTTAAACAAATGACATTTTTTCAAATTCATAATTCAACATGGAAATGTCCAAATTTGTTGTTTAATAGAACGGAGAAGTTCTTTGCTTTTAATTTTATATCAGTGGAGCTACACTGAAAATATTCTGCAGAAATGCTGTTTTACAAGCACATAGTTTGGGAACTCAAATAGCTTTGTCTACTGTTTATTTTTAATAAGGGCCTGTGGTTTTGGGGGGTATGTGGAGTATTTTGAGCTGGTCCATTGAAATTGTTCTCAGAAAAGCAAATTCATTTATGTTTTGTTCTATTTTTTTTTGTGCCCTTTGTAAGTCTGAGTGTGAAAACTGGAAAAGGTTGGAAAATAGTGACTTAAGATACTAGAAATTCATTAGTTATTTTTTTTTTCTCGTGAGAGCCACCTCCAAGATGACAGCAATGCCAATGGGGCATTGCTGTACCAGCACATTCACGATTTCAGTGTAACGCTGTTTGGATCTTTCTGCATTACTAAATAGTTTTCTAGGTGGTACACCAGATCTGTGAAGTAGCTCTGATTTATAAACCAAATGCCAAATTTAAAATTAGACACGCTGGAAGGTCCAAACAGTGCTTAGCTTTGGTGCACTGAACCTTCTCAGGCTTGAAGAGCCTGGGTAACAGAATGGAATAGCAATATTTTTTCTTCCCCTTCCCTCTGTACAGATTTTACAGCAATTTAACTCCATTCACTTCAAGGTAATTAATTTGGATTTAAAGAACTCTCTGGTTAGACTAGACTCATCTTCAGGTAATCCTGAATGCTAATTTTGCTTTTATTTCATGTACAGAGATCTCACACAAACGGAAATAAATCACACTGGTGACAGGGATAGTTTTGCTTGTGGGTCCTTTCTGGGCCAAACCTGATCACCAGCAGATCCCTGACAAGTTGAGTGCCCTGAGGCAGCGGGCCTGGCTGAAGGCAGAGCAGTGCCCGTGGATCCGGACTGGAGGGAAAAAGATAAATTTGGGGGTAACAGATTTTCCCTCTTTAGCATGGTCTCAGTCTAAACCAGGACAAAATGCTCTTGTGGGCTTCTGTGCTGATAGTCCTTCAGTGATGCCAAGGGTTTTTCACTGCCCAGGTGAAGAATCATACACGTGTGAAGATCAAAGTGAGTTTTCTGGTTTGTGCCTTGTGGCCGGTGTTAATGCTGTCTGTGCCAGAGCATTTCACAAAAGCACAATTTAACCGAGCGGGAACCTGCAGAATTATTGTAACGTGGCAGCTCGATCAGGCTCCTGTTTGCCTTAGCCTGACCTCGAAGACAAATGCAGCTCAAAAGTAGTTAATAAAATTGGTACCAGTGAATACATGTTGTGGGATGGATATTTTCAGAATGTGCTGTTTAATATAGCCAGTTTTTCAAGTGTAACTTGGTTTCAAAATAAACTGTTAATTTAAATAACTTACAGTCTATAAAATGCAATTTGAACCCATAAAAAGGTAAGGCTTTTTGCCAGGACTAGCAATGCTTAGTTCCTTAGTTTGCAGAATAAATGTGGCAAGCCTTTTAATGCTGACTTATATTTCTTTTTTCTGGCTTAGGACTAAATATTTCATCAGTCCGTTATAGATTACTTGTTAATTTCAAATCATTTTAATTTATCTAGTATTTTTCCCCCCTAGGGATTCTACAAATGAAACTACTGCACATTCAGATGCTGGCAGTGAGCTTGAAGAAACAGAAGTCAAAGGAAAAAGAAAAAGGGGCCGTCCTGGCAGGCCTCCAGTATGTGTAATTTAGTTTTGTTTTGTTATGCATCTATTTAAAATTGACTGCAAACTGTTTTTCATCTAATCATCTTGTGGTCACATAAATAGGCTTTTAATGAGTCCTGTGTCAAACTTTATGAAGACTTTAAATATGAAATACTTATCAGAATGATATACAAACAGTGCTTGGAGTGATTAAAAAGGGACATAAAAATGAGCTCCTAATAGCTTTTTTTTTTCTTCCACTAGTTACTTATGTGTACATTGCAATTCTGTTATTACTGTCATATTACAGCATTCTTCCTGATGTGAGAGTAATCTCAGTAAGCATGACCAGTTTCTGTTTTGAACATTTTAATGGGTTCTTAAAGTGTCAAATGACATTTGAGACATCCTTTTAGTAAATAATAATCTGCTAATGTGAACGGAAGAGTTGTAGCATAGCATTAACTTTATGCCTTGGAAGATCCAATAACACATTTTAAAAACTGAAGTAACTGATATGTGCCGTGTCCTGCGTGTGGATGAGGAGCTTCAGTTTTTCACCCGATGTAGCCCAGTAGTTAATCCATGGTTTTGATACCTGCTGTATAAGACTTGCTAACAGAATGCCTTTCTTCTTCTGAGAAATGCTCTTTGACCATTGCCAAACCATGACTGGGAACATACAGAAGCAATTCTCCATGGCACATAGTATTAGGGAAGTTTTCTCTTATTTTATTTATTTTATATGCTAGCCAATGTATAGGCAAATACAGAAGTTGTGTTGTGTGTGACTTTTTACTTCTGAGGTTCTCAGTGGGAAGTTCTGTTTGCTGCTAATTCCTCTGATTCTCCTCCTGGTCTTTGCGTACAGGTACACTGCTAGGATGAATGTCCACAGATACTGTGCACTACTGGATAGAGAGTTTTTTACCCTAAGAGGATCCATCCAGAGTCCAACTGCCTATGCCTGGGCTAGCGAGGCTGCTAGAGAGGATACAACCATGTGTATCTCATGGGTGCTGCCTGCATCAGCAAACACCTCTGTAATGGTTTTCAACTTGCTTCACAGTTCTTGGACTTTAGGAGCTGATACTTTAGGTGCTGGGCTCTTCTGGGCAATTTTTCTTCCTTGTTTTTGAAAGTTTTTGAACAGTGTTTCTTATGATGATCTGTTTTCTACATCAGGTGGACACTTTTGATGACTTTATTTTAATAAGCAACATGTTAAGATGTTGAGACATTTTAAGAACAGGTCACCTGTTTACACAGCTTTTAAGCAAAAGACAAAATGACGAATGTCTTAAAAAGAGCTCACTAGTCTGTGAGTCTGAGATGAATGAATCTGTGAATTCTTGCAGATCTAATTGAAAGAGAGGATGGAGCAACCTGATTGCTACCCCAGAAAGTTGTCAGAGTCTAGGAATTTCACTTACAAGTGCACTAGTTCAAATCTAATGTTCATTGGAAAGGAAAGACAAATGTCACCAAAGACATTGCTCATCCTTTATCTTAAGCTTATTAGTATCTCCCATGGGGCTGTTCCCTGAAGCACTTTACCAGTCCTGCTGTCAACTGTTCTGCAGGATCAATTGCTTATTTTGCTTAGCACAGCTCCAGGCTCATTAGGTGTATGTAAGTGTGAGGTGGTGAACATGGAGGGGAAACGGTCGTAGGTTCACACAAACTGATGGGCTGCGAGCTGACCGTTCATTACTGCTGAGGAGCAGGACTGTAGGGTTATGACAGGCAATTGCATGAAAACATCATCATGCTGTTTAACAGGAGCCAAAAAATCAAATCCTGTGCTAGAATTGTGAGGGAAGGAATAGAGGGTAAAACAGATAATTTGTCCATTAAAAAATCCATAGCTTGCCAATGTTTTGAACATGTTGTATAAAACCAGATTTTCTTGCTCCTTCCACACTTACCCCAGAATTTCCAAAGCTTATGTAATAGCCCTGGAAGAATTTCAGACAAGAGCAGCAAAGATCATCATAGAGTCAAGGAGTCCCCCAGGCTGGGTTGGCCAGTCCCACCTCCTGCTCTGGGTCAACTCTGGAGTCAGACCACATCCCTCAGGCCTTTGTCCAGGACAGAGGAGGTCTAACCTCTCAGCAACCTGTTCCACTACGCAGCTTTCTGGCTGGTGAAGTTTTGCCTTGTATTGAGTCGGAACCTCTCTTACTTCAGTTTGTATCTGCTCTCTCTTGTCCTCCCGCCATGAGCTGCTGTAAAAAGCCCTGCAGGGAAAGCGTTCCCAGCCCTCTTACTCTGTCACTAGCCTTCTTCTGGATTTGCTCTATTTTATCAAAATATCTTGCATTGAAAGGGCCACAACTCCATTGTCCCTCCGTTGAGAAGGACCCAGTATTCCAGGCACACTCTGATAGTTGCTAAGTAGAAAGGGGTGACTTTCCTGGTTGTTCCTGTTCATACGGCCCAAGGTGTCAGTGGGCCTTCCTTGCTGCCTTGACACGTTGCTTTTTCATACGCAGCTTGCTGTCTGCTAAGTCCCTGAGGTCCTTTCCCCCAAAGCTCTTCACCAGCCTCCTGTTACAGGATGACCCAGCAGCTCAACCAGGAGCTCCACCAGCTCCCCACCATCTAGTTGTCAGCCAAACCACAGCTTCCCAGCTCGGGGTGGACAGCAGTGGAAGCCTGGCAAAAGTCAAGGTAAATAACATCCACTGCTCTCCCCTCATCCACAGATCCAGTCTTTTTGTTACAGTTTTCCAGGAGACTTGGCTAAATGTATTTATTTAGATCCACAGCCATATCCTTCTTCCTTACCTGATACTGCAGGAATGGAAAAGGATAAACAAGCAAAATAGCTTCTGCAAACAGTGCTTCTGCAAATAATGACTAAAACGTTATTCCATCTTTGCTCCCCCTGAGAAAGCATACAGATATCTCGGAGAGGCTAGGCATTTACCTTTGCAATATTTTTCCTTCCTATATAAGCCTTAGTGCCTTATTATGTAAGGCATTATTTGTAACATTGAAAATCACAGGCTTGTTAGGGGTGTTGGCGAACTGTCGTGGTACTTCCCCTACTCCTCCACATCCCCATCCACCTTTCCCATGGGTGATGGATTACCTGTTTCCCGCAGGAGGTGCTGCTCCTGCATTGCTGCCCTCCTGAGCCATCTGCTAACATTCCTCTGTTTCCTGGTACTAGCTACCGGGAGGCACCTTTCCTCTCAGCTATGAGAGAGATTAACATATTTAGTAAAATTAGTAGCTGTTCTTCCCTACTGGTATTTAGCTTCAGTGTTTTTTCATTTATTTTAAAGACCTAAAAAAAGGTATGCCCAAAGGCATGCTTCTCCCTAGGGAGGAAAGTTTGAGGAGCTGCGTTTGTACAGCTAACGCACAGTGTAGTCTGTCAAAGACTTGTAGTTATGGATTCATTTTAAATAGGGTTTCTGCTGTAGTGCTTAGATTGGCCCTGGCCCTTTATCAGTAAGGTAGGCTGCTGCACGGGGTTGTTTTCCAGGCTTTCTGAACACCCCAGAGAGGACTGTCTGGGCCACCAGCAGTGTTGTACAGCACTGATGTGTTAAACACCAAAGATATTCCTCCTTGAAGGTGCTGAACTTTCATAAGGAGACGGTCTTATCTTATGAAGAAAGACTAAGCGATCTGGGCCTGTTTAGCCTGGAGAAGAGAAGGCTGAGAAGAGATTTGATCAACACATGCAAGTACCTGAGGGGAGGATGTAGGGAGGATGGAGCCAAACTCTTCTCTGTGGTGGCCAGTGACAGGACAAGGGGTAATGGGTACAAACCGAACCCCAGGCAGTTCCACCTCCATGTGAGGAAGAACTTCTTTCCTGTGAGGGTGCCAGAGCCCTGGCACAGGCTGCCCAGAGAGGCTGTGGAGGCTCCTGCTCTGGAGATCTTCAAACCTGCCTGGATGCCGCCCTGTGTCCCTGCTCTGGGTGTCCCTGCTGGAGCAGGGGGGTTGGACTGGATGATCTCTAGAGGTCCCTTCCAACCTCAACCGTTCTGGGGTTCTGTGATCCTTGCTTGAAAATTTGCCACTTGTGGCAAATACATTTTCAGTTCATAGAGAACTTTTAATATTTCGGGTGGAACTCCCCTTTCTGAAGAAGGTATTTTCCAGGCCACCTCTCCTTTCCTTTAGAGATTCTTCTAATAAGTATTTGCCTGAACATAGTCTGGCCAGTTGACTTGAGAAGAAATAAAGCATGTTGTCCCTCCAGAGTAACTCCCACATCTAGCTCAAATGTCCTGAGTTTGCAGACCCTTGCAGCAAATTCAGCAGCATTTGCACTGTGCCCAGCTCAGGCTGTGCAGCAGCCCAGGTCCATCTCCAAAATGAGTCCCACAGAAAAGCACTCTGTGGAGCAGCTGCTCGGGATATGAACCTGTCTGGTCGGTGGAATCTGTCGAGGTGGGTGTTTATGTGATGCTGTATGTGCGTATCCTCTCTGGATGTGCATGTGGTGAACCCTGTGGCACGCTGACCCACGACAGTCTGCCTGTTGCTGGGTGACGGACGCGGGTCTCGGAGCGCCTTTCCCTCGCTTCTCGGAGCGCTCTCCAGGTGCACGCGCACAGGTTCTAGTCGGGGATTGGAAAGCCCAAGGCCTCATGATGTAACGCAGCTCTCCCATTAGTGAGCCGGGGTGCAGGTCCCATTTGCTGTAGCCTTTTTGCCACCTCTCATGGATAAGCACTCCCTTGAGAAAGCTGTCTAACGGTGTCGTCATTCTCTGTGTTAACCCACCTGGCCGTACCTCCCCAGGAGCTCGGTATAGCGTGGCTTGCAGGCTCAGCTGCCGTGGGTCAAAGAAGTGAGAGTCACCCCTGGCTACATCTCAGTTGTTGCATTTAAAAGCAGGAGTAGCTAGAGACTCCTCCAGCCTTCCTCCTCGTATTCCTCTTTGAAGCAAGACGGAACAAGGCACTGCTGATGCTTTTGGCCCAACACCACGTGGGTGGTTTTGCTCTCAGGTCCCTTTGCATCTTTCAGTGCAGAACAGAGAGAGCATGATTCTTCAGCTTTTCTTTCCTACGTGAATTTATACTTTTGCAACAGACTCTTAGCCTTTCTTAGTCCTCTGGCATGGGCACTGGATACTCTTAGGGCCTGAGCTTTCATGTCACTTTTAGGACTCTTGCTAGATTTTTTAAAATAAGGATGACAAAAAACCAAATGTCCCAAACTAGTGGAAGCTTAGAAAGCTTCTTCCTGCTGATGTGAATAAATTATTGCTTTAAGCTGCTTACAGTAGGAATGAACATCCAGGCTGTCATTTAAAAGGCAGAGGAGCTGCAGACCTGTAGCACTTTTCCCCATAGGATGCATGGTGCCTATGTGTGCTCGCAGCCCGTCTGCCTGCCCTTCTGCCTCAGAGGTTCTGCTCTCCTTGAGCTAGGGGGAGGAGGGAAGGCAAGATTGCATCCCCTCTGAGCTGCCCAAGGCTTCATACACAGAGAAATTGTGCTTGGAAAAACTCCCACAGCTCTTGGTAATATTAAAAATTCTGTTACTGCTTATATCTCAGTGTACTTATAGTGTGAGCATGCATAAAGACAATACGTCTTCCAGAAGCATAGCTAGATGTCTTTATTTTCCTCCTGCAATACATGGGATCAATTTGGTGGAGTTTAAAGAAAATCTCAAGCCACCTTCACTTTTGTTTTTTCTCTGAAATGCGCGAGTTAATATTATGTTTGCATTACATGTTTTTGCAAATGTGGAGGTTTTCTCATTTTTTTCTTCAAAAATAGTTTTAAAGAAGGAAATTATAAAAGATCATCATCTCTCTAGGTTTTTTAAATTAGTAAAATTATGAGTTTTCATAATCTCAGTTTAATTGTAGTTAAGGTACATCCCTTTTACCTTAGTGAAAACCATAAAGCAACAGGTAAACTATGTGATCCATTAAATAGCCATTTTAGATTTGCTTCTGGATCATTAGCTTCTCCTTGTATAAACTGACAACAACTGCAGCTGAGAATTTAATCTAACGTGTACATTTAAAAAACAATCAGGAATTTCTGTTTTCATATGGGTATAATTTGGGGGCCTTCATCTCTCTGAAGCTGATCTCCATGCCCGGTGTTTCTTTCTTTTTTTTTTTTTTTTTTAGTTAAAGCAGAATCTACTCAGCTGAAGTCTGTGAGAAATAAAATATTCATATCCTTAGGGGATATTTTGGTGGAATGATAATCATTGCACTGTGAAGTATTCTGTGCATAGCCTGAGCTGTAGAACTTGTTTATGGAATATTTTAGGAGTTGAAAAAGAAAATACGAAGTAGGTAAATCTTGTATACAATAGAGAGCACTTTCTTTAATGTTTAAATCAATTAGATGTGTAGATGTTTGTGGGACTCTTTTTCCCCACAGCCAGAAACACTTGGCTTAGGTTCTGCATCCAGCCCACTTCAGGTTCCAGTGAAAGAGCCCCCGGTTTTGGTTGTCAGGTCTTATTTGCTGCATGGAGGCCAGGAGGCTTTGCCATCGCTGCTCTCACAGCAAAAGCATTTTTAGTAACTCGCAAGCTCCTGGCTCCAAGCAGCATCTCTTGGTGTGTGATAGAGAAGTTTTCTCCAGCATTGGTTCTTTATTCCTCTCCCAGTGGTCCTAACTCAACTCAGGAGCATTTGGTCTTCTGTTGCAGTGGACAACTGGATTATGAAAGTTTTTCCAAGGATTCATTAATGCATTTAGGTACCATCCTGTTAACCAACTTGCCTTTTCTATTACTCTTCAGGCAGCCTCCCCATAAAATCAGTAGTAAACAAGAGGAAGGTCTGTTTTGACACTGAGAAATGCTTGTTCAGTCCCTAGGTGATAACATTCCTGTATGTTTTGTTTTTTTCTCGGTGTCCTCTAGCTTTCTGCAGTGGCTTGAAGGTTAGGAAGGACAAGCAATGACTGTTACAGTTGCTCATGCTGGAGAGTGTCGATTTCTCTGTATCTTGATGACTGGTTGGTGGATCCTCACAAAGGTGGACTTACATATTTACTCAGTTTGCTTGATCTTAAAAAAATGTCACGTTTTGTACCAGTCACTTCTTCCAGCTTGACTTTGCAGCTCATCCCTAGTTGAGCAGATGCTCCATGGTGGTTCTTTTCATAATTCCTGGGCCAGAGAATTTCTTTTCATAATTCCTGGACCTGGTGCCTGTAGAACCTAGATGTGATTTGTTTCTGTGTGTGTACCCCAAAGCGGGATTTAGCTTGGGCTTCTTACCAAATGCCCATCTGGTGCTCAGGAGCGGAGGTTTTGTGGACACCCTTCATCTAGCACCTCCCCTACCAAAGACACTCTCATTCTCTGCCTAGCTGAGAAGGATACGGTTTGGGGTTTTCTTCTGTTTCTCAGCAGAGCATCCGTCCTGTGCCTTCTTGAGGCCTGGATTCTGCATCTGGATTGGGCTAACCCGTGTGAAATGGCCTTTGTTATCTCAAAGACTTGGTTCCTCTGCCATAAGACGTATCCTTGTTGTCAAAAGAAGGATCTGTATGAGACAAAAGCTTTAACTGAGTAGACTCAATACTAGATCTGGTTTTAATTTGGGTCCAAGTCTTCCCTAAAGCCCTTTATCCTTCCATCTTGAGCTCTTTACTTGGGCTTGTAGCATCCAGTTTTGACCAGTATTTTTTCAGAAGTGCATTGACTCATCTGATTCACTCTTTTGCTGTTTTTTGAACAGCGATTGCGTGTCTCTGCAGGGTTTGGTAGGTAACGTTTCATCCTTTGATGATGATTTCATCATTTTCTTGATGATAAAGGTCTTACTCTTCTGCTTGTAAGTGCACATTATCCCAAAAAACTGTTCACACAGATCTACTGTTATTTTAAGCTTTCCGGTTTGCATTTGTATGCACGTCTTTAATTGAATGTTTGCAAGAGGCTGGTGCAGTTGCAGTCTGTCTTGCCCCTTTTTTTTAGTTCTCTGGCGCTATCAAGAGCAGTTGGAGGAAGGATACATCACAGCTTGGCTGTCTTCTACCAGCTTTCTTCCAGATAAGAACTTCCTTTATCTGCAGGAAAAGTTTTAATGCATGTGCCCTTGGAGGATGCAACCAAAAATGTTGACTTCATGTTCTCTCCTAAAAGCTTTGGTGGAATCTAGGAGCCGTTTTCCTATACAGATCTAGAAGAATAAATAACTTATATGCTTTTACAGGTAAATGGTATCATGAAGATTCTGTCCTTGGTGCAGTCTTAGAGTGACTTGCATCTTGTTTTCTTTAACATAATTTCTCAAAATAGCTTCATTTTTCTGTAGAAAAATGGCAGGTTTTGCCCTCATCTGCCTCTAAGTAGGGAGAAGTTACAGACCAGAGATTTTACCTTTTTCTTTTCCTCCAAGAAACTGCCTTTTTTTGGACAAGGTAACTTGCATTCAAAGCAAAGCATTCGGTTGGTGACATATCTAAAAAGTGGGATTTATAGGATCTGATTATAAGCTTGAGGAACTTATAAAGAATTTATATTAAAAAAAATTAGATTTGCAGGCCATATTCACAGGTAAAACTCCATTCCCAACATTTAGAGCAAGAATGGGGCCATTATGTTGGTCTGCTAAATCTGTCCGTGTAAAATGTACTCATTTAATTGTAATGGAGTGGAACAGCTGAATCTTTTTCTTATGTATGTATTTTCTTACAAAAGTTATTTGATTTTGGGGAAAAATGCTTAAATATAAAAACTGCTATTAACACGGGCAATTGCATATTCAATAATTTATTTGCTATCTTCCTAAGATGTTTGTTTTTTCTCAGTTCCTCTTTGTTTTGTATGCTAACTTGCAACACTTTTGCTGTCCTGTATGTAATTTGCTGCCATCTATCTAAATGTAGTCACCATGTCGTCTATCTGCTCGTGTTGAATGAGACCGATGTGGGTGCTGACGTGCTGTGGTGCTTTACCATTGGGAGTTTGACAGTCGTTACCTTGACCTCCCAATGGCTTTTAAGTTACTTTGCAAAAAGTACTAATAAATATAAACCTGTGCACCTGAGTGCCTGAAGCCCTAAGAAACCTCGTTTGATTTAATTGCTGGCCTTTCTTTGAGCAGGAACTTCACTGGGTCCCTTCTAACCTGACGTATTCTGCGATGTGCGTGTGTGTATTTGAGTGTGTAAGTGTGTGTGTAATACCCCTGTATGGTTTGGAAGGAACCTTGGGGTGGTTTCAGGTGCCGTCACTATAATAGGCTTTCATTCTGCTGGTTTTATTTGCCCAGTCGGCCACGAAGAAACCGCGGAAGTCGCCCGGAGACAAGAGTCGTTCGGAAGCTGGAGCTAGAGGCGCAAGTCGTGGCAGAGCTAATGGTCACCCCCAGCAGAATGGAGAAGGGGACCCTGTCACCTTGTTCGAGGTCGTCAAGCTGGGGAAGAGTGCTATGCAGGTAAAAGAGCTGATCGTGTTACTGCATTGCTGCTCAGCGTATTGTGACTATTAAGAGTTTGCTCTGAGCTATGTCCTTGGAAACAACTACGTGTTCTCATAAACTGTGTTGGTCCAACAGACCTTTATGTTTAACTTTTATCTAGTCCTTATGTGACAACATAAGGAATGGAGGGAGCTTTGTGTCATGTATACTTCTGAAAGAAGAGACATAAAAAATCACATATTTCAATTAAACTCTGTATTGCATTAATTAGGTTCAAATTGAAAATGCATGCTGATATTAGGCAGTGCATTAAAAGATATCCGCTAGTAAGTTTTACAGGAAGAGAAAGCATAAGATAATATTACTCACAGAAAAAGGTTGTGGGTTTTTTTGTTTGTTTTATTTTTTCTGTTTCTTCAACTCCCACAAAAATGCCTGCTGACTTAAGCACTTTAGGAAACTGCCCTGCAGCTTGCATTCTTGCTGCACATTAAGGCTAAACCAGTTGCCTGGACTCCCTCTGTGGTTGAGACACAGACGGACACATCCTGAAGGCAAATTTCCTCATCGTAAGATAAATATGTATGATAGTGAATCGCCTCTGGAGGTGCTCCTTCCTCTTTATTGAGGTCTTAGATGAGGTCTTGGAGAATTAATTGGGCTAGATGAGTTCTGCCTCAAGAACCTCTGTAAGTTATTGTTTTTGACCATGTTTATATTATGTACTTAGTTGTTGTGCTTTAGCAGTTTGTTACTGCCACTCGAAGGAGAAGCAGCAGGTCCCAAATGCTGTTCATGCGTTGCAGTGCAGAGGCAAGGATTGCTTAAGCAAACCTGCTTCACTTTGCATTTCAACAAACCAGGACATCAGGCACTACCAAATAGTATGCTTTGCTTTTGGGGAACATGTTTTGCTTTCAATACATTGTGACTTAAGAGTTGGGTCTGCGCTATGTCTGCGTAAACAATGTGCTTTTATACGTGAGGAAACACGAGGAAACAATTGTGCTTTTATACATGTTTTATATAACATGAGGAAAATTAACGACAAAATGGTAAATGAGGCAACTAAGGGGCCAAGTCCCATTTTCAATATTCCTTCCAGTGCAGTTAGAAACCTGGGTCGAACTAACCCTCCCAGAAGTCTAGTCCTCCAAGTGAGTAAAACCATTGGAAATTTTCTTGCTGTTTCAAATATGTGGAGGGACTGAAATGTATTTTTAAAGTAGTAAAAATCAGGAAAGAAAAACAGTGTTTTAATTGTGCATAGAGGATATATGCAGTTATACAGGCTTGATCCTTCTTACCTGGTAGGTGAAGACAGAACAAATTTACTCCTTCCAAATCTGCAGGAAGATTCCTTGTGACTTTTCTCCCTGTAGGTTTTAAATCAGCTTCCAATTTTAACAGCTTTTCAACACTTTTCCGAATTTCATTTTTGGCAGGATTTGAGGGAACATCTGGAGTCTATTTTCTGGTTTTACTGTGGTACAGAACGTACAATATGCTTCATGTAGTATGTTTATCTTACAGGTATTGATATATGCCAAAGCCAAATGAAAAGGAATCGAGGCTTGCTTTGATATTTGATGAATCTTTGTCTGTGTGAAGAACTATTTTTAATGCATTTCACCTACTTCTAAAGAGGGGCCAACAGAAAATTTCTATAAGTGCACTTCCACAAGAAATTGTGTATATATATGTTAGTATTAAGACATGAGTAGGTAGGCATTCCTTCCTGCAGTGGAATAAGGATAAGCAAATAGCAAAGGGATAGGTGAGTTTATTTGACAGGTTGGGATGCAGATTTTCATAAATGATTTGAGCCATGTTTAAGAACCCCAATCATAATTTCAAGAGTATGTGTCACTTGTGTACTCAAGAAAACTTTGTTGGTGGTAAAAAATAAAATAAAATAAAAAATAAAAAACCCTATTCCATAAAGAGAGGAAGAAAGAAAGGAAAAGCCCCATAATGGGACAGAAAATGCATTTTTTTTTTCCTCTGGCAATTCTGGATAAATAGTAATCCCATATGAAACCTAGATTCTATAAACCAAGATTATTAGAGTTTTTATATATACTTCTCATTTTTCTTAATAGCTGTGGGATTTTAATGTAGCAATTAGGAGCAGTTGGCAATCTTGTTTCTCATAACTTCTGCAGGGATTTTTTTGTGGCCAACTTTGGCATTTTTTTTCAGTCTTGCTAATTTTCAGACAAAACATTGCATGTGTGTGTATGTCAGAACCTCTTTTTTCTCGATATTGAATTATTTCCCTGTAGTATGAACTTACATTTTCTATGACATGCTTGGCTTTGCATTCAGTAATGAAAAACAGAGAAATTAAATTAATATATTTGGAGATTACATGGGAATTTTTGTGCTTAATCACTTTACGTGCTTTTGTATTTGATGTGTCCGCGCCTGCTGTTTCCTCGCAAGATGTAATTTAGTTGTTGGGTTTTTCTGGCTGTGTCTTGTCAGCTCGTGGCATTGTGCACGTTCTCTAGCTGCATTCAATTCTCACGTATTTTAAATTTGTCCCCTATTTTGGATGCGATCGCAGGATTCACTTAGTTCTCTTTGGGTTTACTGCTGTGTGGTCCTCCCAGGGAAACAGAGTTATGCTAATATTTGATGTTTTGAGCATATATAATTTTGGTGCTGCTCTTTGCATATAAATCTTTGCCTCTAGATAGACTCCTGCCTCTATGATTAAGTGCTAGTTCTCTCCATATGAAGTCTCCTTGAACTCTATAAATCGATGTATTAGACAAGTATTGAGTTGCTGTCACTGCTGTTTAATTTGTCGTGGACCTTCTGTACAAATAGTTGCTTCAGAAATTTCTCTGCTGGCAGCCACGTCAGTGCGGAGCGTGACAGGACGTGGCGGCCGGGCTGGCTGCTGCTGCTGCGTTTTGTTAGTCCATTCAGATTGTGCCTTGGGCTTTGTCATGAACTGCCCCCCTCCCTTTTTTTTAGGCAATTGTCAAACTCCTTTGCTTTTTGTCATTTGTGTCTTTTTCTCAAAGGTTTTATATGGATGCTACTCCATGGGCTGTTTTTCCCATCCTAAGCTTCTCCAGGTGGAACAGGATACAGTTTAGTTTCAGTCTTCATAGACTCTTTGGCATTGATCTTTGACTGTGGCATTAAGCCAGCAGGGATGTAAAGACTGCTTAAAGAAGTGATGATGTTTCAGTCTCTGTCTGAGAATTTCTTACAAGCGAGTTACAACCGACCAACTGTAGTGAGGTGTGTGTTTCTGCAGCAGTCGAACAAGCAGAGCAGCGTTATCCCTCACTGCGCGCAGACGAGTTTTGTGCCTCCCCAGAAGATCAGAGAGAGTAATCAGTAGTCCAGAAAGGTATTTGATATTGGAAAATGAACAGATCAATGCCTAATTACTCACTAACATTGGGTGTGTTCCCAGTGTCCTTAATTTGTTAGCCGTTCAGTACAGATGAGCTGCTGAGTTTTGAACCTCTTTGCTTAGGCTCAGCTGACAGAAGACACTGGTGTTGCGTAGACGTGGCTCAGAGTAAATACATCTCCATGCTATGCTAAAGAGCCTTTTAGGATATGGATCCATTGCAAGTTTTCTCATACGTTGAAAGGGAATTTTTCATTGTCCTACCAGATCTTTTCTGTCCCTGCAGAGCTCAAAGGTAAATGTGGTGCCTCACCTTCCTTGTCTGTCCGGCTCAACTGACAGGGATTTGGGTGTTCTGAGGTCCCCGTGTCCGTCTGCGTAACGACCCCGCAGCCGGGAGCTGGGGCGGGCCGTGCAGAAGGGTCTGCTGCCCTGCAGGCACGAAGCCCAGGGCAGTGGAGCAGCCTGCGTTGGGTTTATACCACACGCAACGTGGATTAGGCTCTACTTCACTAGCCCCTGCCATTTTATCAACAAGCTGTTTTAATCACATACTTATTGTACGATATCGATAATCCCTATGTTCCTGCGTCCTTCCAGTGGTTCTAATTAAGAAAAAATGTTATATGCCTGCTTTAATCTGGCAAAAAACAAGGCTGCTGTTGAAAAGATTGGTCGCAGCTTCTCCCACAGCTACAGCTGGTGTTTCTGACACTTTCTTGTGTGTTTTGTAGTCACACCAAGAAGCAGATTTAATTAAAACCTGACACTTTGACAGATTTTTTTTTTAGCTAGATCAGTTCCCTGATTCAGTTCACCTCTGGCAGCAGCTCAGACTTATTCCTCATAAAGTGACTGTACGGCCATGGCCATGTCTGCCTTGTGTAGGCTCGCGTTTTACATGGATTCCTTGTCTCTTGAGCTTAAATCATAAGAGCAGCTCTGACTGCATCATGACGAAGGTCCAGTATCTTGTCTCTGCCATGGGCAGGTAAGAAAGAGCATGAGGAAGGGGGATATATTTTGTGGTATCTCCCTGCTTGCAGTTTGGGGGAGCCAGGGGTGACTGTGGTTTCTGAGTTTTCAGTCCTGATAGATCTCCCTACCCTGAATTTCTCTGTTCACCCTCCTCTCCTTTGGCTAGACTCTCTCCATCTGCCTCCCCAGTCTTTGGGAGCAAAGGTCTTTGCCAAGGATCAACCGCTCACAAACATTACAGGCATGTTTTAAGCTAATCCACTTTTGTTGTATTTTTAACACAGCATTCCTCGGTTTGGAAGATGGATAATGATTTGGGGTTTCACCAAAACAAACTGTCTCAGAAGCTCCTTGGGAGTTTAAGCATGCGTTCTCTAAAGTTTGCAGTTTAATAGAACTGCAGCGGTTTTGTCATTTGAGCTAAGGCTGCAGTTCCATCCTGCTTTGCCTTTGGTTATATATTACTAGCTTAAAAAAAAAAGAGAAAAAACCTTGGTGCATGCTTTCATGCTCGTTATACTCGTAGCAGTTTAGCTACCAGAGCAAACATCAATTAATCCAAGAGCAATCCTTTAATATCAAATTAATCTTTTCGCAGTCGCCTTTCCCTTTGCGATGTAGGATGGCCCGTTCCGCACAGGACAGAGGGTGCCTGTTTGCTGTTCAGGTGAACTCATATGGCAGCCATGCACTATGTAACAACATTATAGCTGAAACCCATAGAGTTAAAGCCAGACAAGACTTTTGCTGTCCAGATGGTCATCATTTTTTGAAATATCTTGGGTTATCTGTGACGTTTTTCCAATATATCAATATATCAGGTAGATATAGCAAGTAGGTATATTTGATATACTGCTGATATATTGTTCAATATACTGATTCGATACCAGCTAGATGTATTCGATATAGATATATCAAATGTCTACTTCCCCATTCCACTGCATATAACTACATAGCTACATGCAATGCCATAGCTACATGCAATGCAATGCCAGACAGACACAACTGTCTCTGTCTGAAGTGTACAGATCCCAAAGTTTTTTTGGAATAAGAAGTTTTATTTAGAATTTTATTCCTTCCCTGTCTCTGCTTCAGGAAAGAAAAAAAGCATATATATAGAAACTGTGTAAAGCTGCCTTTCCCTTTTTTTTTGCTTGTGAGAAAAAAAAAAACAGTAGAAGCAGGTACTGTTCTATTAAAGTAAGATAAAAAACAGAATCACTTTGATTTTTCAGAAAATGCTGCCTAGGTGCTAGCAAAGGCCAAGCTATTTCAAAGTCTAAATTGGCCATCCTTACAGTAAAAAGGATAAATTGCAGCTTTTCAACCTACAGTTCTTTTTTATTAACTTTATATTAGGCTTTTCACTGGGTGTATATTATATTTCTGGCCTGTGATTTGGAATGCAGCCAAACAGCCATTGCAAAGTGCAGGCTTAAACTGTGCAGCCACCTTCTGTGTGTTAGGAGCTACCTTCTCTCCAGGAACTGTCTGTACAATTACTTCGTTCTTCCAACAAATTTGACCTTAAAAGACTTCTGTTCATTTTTTTTTTCCCCCAGAAACTGCATGGATTCACTTGAAAAACGTAGAATATTACACATCTCTCGCTCTTTCATTTCCTTCCCTATGCTTTTATTTCCACAGCACTCCTAAGTCCTTGTCACAGTGTGTTAAAGCACTTTCCAGCTTTTGCCTTCTATTCAGGCTGCTCTTTTATACAGATAATTGAAACTTTCAATTTCACCATGCCTTTTTTGTTGTTGTTTTAATAAGTTTCGAATTTCATTTGGATTTTGTTTTTTGGCAGAAGATATCAGTATAAGCTGTACTTCCGTTTTTTTGTATTTTTCCTTTTCTCACTTTGAATTTAAACACATCATAGAGTCTTTTTTTTGTTCTGTCATATTCACTGTAAAGGAAGCATTTCAACAATCAACTGTATGAAATGGCAAATTATTCAAATGTTATTTGTCCCTGATTTGCCTTGGTTTACAATTGACTCAGATCTTATACTTGAGCATGCATTTCTCATAGGATCCCATTTGTTTTCCCTTTGTGTTAGCAGCACTACTGCCAAATTATTACTTAATTTAAACTGTGAAAAAGCTTATTGAAATCAACTTTCATTAACATCTAGTGGGGCTCTGCGAGGTATCATCTGCAGTTAGTCCCTCTGTTTCCGTGAGCATTTAACTCTCCAAAGTGTAGTAATGTTTTTGTGCTGAAGGGATATCAAATGAATTCCTATCTGAAAAGCCTCCAGAAAGTAATAAGATAACTAGTTTCATTATTTCATCCATTGAATCAGACTTTTGCTTTTACTGGCAATCCAAGCTGTTATTCCTCTTCAGTGCTATGAAGTGTTCCTATTTATCTTTAGCAGAGTTAGAGATGCAAAGGTCAATACAGCTGCAGCGTCTACGTGACTGATTACAAGTTGTTGATTTGGACTATGGATCCATTCTATTACTTGCCTAACATCCTTTAAGGTCCTTATATCTGTAAGGTGGCCTATTTGGCACTTTAGATTCTTGTCTTCAAGTTCTCTTGCGTGGTAGCTCCTAAAGCAGGGTCACCATAGACCTCCTATGTGAGATTGTCCTGTGAGCTGCTATGAGCTGATGAAGATCCCTCTCCTGATTGTATGTTTGTGCTATACATTATCTGCTGCTTGCAGAAGATCTGATTTTTCACTCCTCATAAAAATAGAAACAGAAGCACTTACAGATTTTTTTTTAAATTTATTTTCAAATCTTCAAGTCTCATTTCAGTAGCATGAACTTGTGTGGACTTGATATGCTGAACTAGATATATGGCACATGTAAGTGTGTATATATATACATATATATATACACCTACACACACACACACATTTATCTACACATATACACATATAGTTTTTGCCAAGGGAGAGGGAATGATGTGAGTGTCGTTGACATCATCTATAAATTTTATTGCTGTAACTAAGCTAGGTAATCTTTGAGTTGCTTAAAGATTAGCTACAATATCCCTAGCCTCATGCCTCACTCTAGGTTGGTAAAAGAGACGAAACACTTTAAGAAAAACGCAAAAAAAATTTTTTTTTTTGGACTTCTGCTACTTTTCCTTGGTTCAGTTTATATTTGTCTCTATTTTAGGTCTAATATGTGTATCCTTTATTTTTTCACTGTCATTTTTTCAGTTTTTATAGCTCTTTTCTGTTACATCAAAAGTCAACAGTTTGACTAAATTCCAACTGTTGTAGCATATGCAGTCTGGCTTCATTACCTCCTGTTGCCTAAAAGCTGTAATCTCCCTCATAGACTCAGCAGCAGCACGGCAAGTGTGCGTGAGAGGTGGAAGGGTGCACAGCAGCTACACTCTAATCCACATGTGATATTTTGATTTTTCTATTTGGAAAATGTCCCTCATTCATAGGAATTGATAGCAACAGTTTGAGTGATGGAGGGATGGTTGCGCACAGGTTTGGTGTCTGTGTGGGAGCTTGTGACTTGGCGCTCTCCAGATGGGCAATGGAGATCTAATTAGCTTAATTACTACTAGAGTTTTAAGCAGTAAACTCATTTTATCTCAGCTTACAGTGGGTACCTCTTATGGTCAGATGAATTGCGCCATAAGCTCCACTGAATGTGTTGACTATGTTCAGTATGAAGGGAGTGAGTGACATGAGCAACAAGCTGGGCCGTACATCCAAAGTTAGGTGAAGGGAGATCCCGTCTGAAACATTTTCTGGAGTGTCCAAAACTGTAGTTAAAACTTTCCATACATTGTGTGCCAGCCCCAGATGATGCAGGCGCTAGTCCTCATCTGTTCTCCATGTTCAGCGTCTTCCCCCTGATTTTGGTAGTTTCTTTCTCTGCTCCTGCTGCTAAAGAAATCTCATTGCCTCAGGTTTCGCAATCAAGTCCTTTTCTTCATTATTTTGTGAATATATGTGTGAATGGGCTCTGGACTGAACTGACTGGTTCTGACTGGCAGCAATGCAGGACTCAAATAATTTTGGTTTTGTTGTTAAAAAAAAAAAAATTCCTCCAAATCGCCTCCATCTGTTTCATTTTTGTAACCCTTGGTTGCAGAAACAAACATCGTTCATTGGTATATGAAGAAGCAGGTGAACCAGGGTAGGTGCAGAACAGCGTGTTGTAGTGGGGAACAGGCTCAGGCTGAGCAGGGACAGGCCTCCTAGGCCTGTCTAGGCCGGGCTTCCAGACGGGGTGTTGTGCATGGAGCTTGACTATGGCCAGTGCACAGGGATAGACTGCGAGCTAGCTGCTAGCCCTCAGAAAAGACACCTGAGGCTTTCTAGGCTCAGAAAATTACTCTTGCAGACTTCAGAAAACGTTAGGAGGTGTGACAAGCATGGGCGAAGATAAAGATAGGGAAGCCTTTGTGTACAAGACACAGTCAGGTCCTGCAGCCTGCAGAGAGGTGACCAGTGGAGAATATGCTGGACACACGGAGAAGAATTAAGGTCTATTTTCTCTTCTGCCGTAAGAACTTGGAGGTTATAAAGATATTCACGGGCCTTCTATGCTTGCAAGTGCGGTTTGAAGCTGTGACAGCTTCCTCTGCTGTGGCTCAGGTAGCTTATGGACACTCAACTGCTGTAAGAAGGAGCAAGCTCTGCATTATTTATAGAATAGTCCCTGTTGCAGTCTGTCTTCTTGAGCTAGGGACGGTATTTCTGAATGACAGACATGCCAGTTTGACCTTTCTAACTGTTGATGTGTTCACTATGCAATGGAAATTCAGCTCTTATCCCAGAGTGTTGCGATCTGTCAGTATTCTTGGAATATATGTTGATAATTCAGTAAGGAGTCACTGTTTTATTCAACTGAATGAATATTGCAGGTAGAGTTTTGAGAAATTACAATAATTTGCCTTTGAACCTCAGTTTATACAAATACAAACCAGAATACAGCACATAAAATTCTATTCTCTAACAATATTTGTTCTGTCTCCACCCTGAGAGATGTATAGATTTTTGAATTCGTACACATGTATAATTGTGCAACATAAATATTTAGTTATAAAATTATGTTCTGAATAGAACAGGTAATTTGCCTTTAATAAAACACTTACAAAAGTATCTAATAAATATTCTTTTTTTCTTGACAGTCTGTGGTGGACGACTGGATTGAATCATATAAACAAGACAGGGACATAGCACTTCTGGATTTAATCAACTTCTTTATCCAGTGTTCAGGATGTCGAGGTACAGAACATGGGAAACGCATAGAATAAATCTGGTGGTCATGCAAACCATATATTAGTACAAATGCTGGTAAAGATGTGGGGCATGGATTGGTATTCCTCGTATGCATGGTTTATATAGAAATATTATCTGCAGTCCGGAATAATTTATTTAAAGCTTGTTTGTCCAGAGGCTACCTTCTCTTTTCCTTACTTTCCTGTCATTTGCAAAGTGTACAAATCCTTGCAGAGATACTCTTCTTATCAGCAAAAGGAGACAAAAGATTTATTAATCAAGGTAAGCCTACTCCAATTTCTCCTTTTTTTCATTTTTTTTTATTACAAGAACTAATAGGTGTAGCTGTGCTTTAACTTTGCTATTTTTTCTTTCTGTCTAGGAAAATGAGATTCTTTCAAACCGGAGGAGGGAGTCAAGACTCAGTTGCCTTCAGATTAGGAAGAAAGAAGATATCTTTCGAAAGAAGCCCCAATCTTATTTCTTTATTACTTGATCAAGTCAGCAGCAAGCAGGCAGCTTTTTTTCACCGTATTTTATCAGTCTCATGTTACCACGCATGGGGTGATCTTTCTACCATTCTCTTTTAATGAATTTTCCATGTGTGTCTTTCTCCTGGTTTTTAACTCAACATTGAAAATTAGGAAGGACAGAGCTCTTGTACTTTTTACTCCGTACTGAACTATTCATTTTTTTTGATGCTTCCTGTAATCTGCCCTAGTAGAATCAAAAATAACCTGCAATTCAGAAATGCTTTATTTCATTTTATAACCGACAAGGGAATGCACCTTTAGACCGTCATCTGATCTAAGTTGAAATTCCTTTTCTTTCTTTCCCAAGTTCAGTTAAAGTGTCAGAGAAAAGATTATGAGCCCTAAGCACCTTCAGCAAACTCTTTTTTGTAGCGTAAGTTAAAAAACTAACTTTGTGGAAAGACTGAAGCTGTGGAAGCATTTCGCAAAGGGCCTCAGGCTTGGGGGTTAGGTAGCCACTCTGTGTCAATGTCTGTTCAGATTTTTCAGATTTGTTTGGCACCTTACATGAAAGTAGGTTTATTCCATTTGCTTTTTTAAGCACTCTCCTAAAAGTATATATAATAAAATCTTCCTTTTAACAACTTGGGCTGCATTAAACCAAAAAGGATCTGCAGACATATCTCTATATTCTTGTGGATGCAGGTTTTTGGTGAGGGCATGGCCTAAATACATCTTTTTCCCTACTGCTTATTTCTCCCGCCTTGTCTTCCTGCTTGTTAGAGAAAGCAGCAGTCTTGTGATCTCCAAAGATTCATATTTTTTTAAAACATTTTGTCACTGACTGATGTGGGCTGAATGCCACTGCTATCCATATGCTGCTGCTGGAGCACTTGCTTCCCGGGAAGACCTTCCTGTATTGGCAGGGAGGCAGCAGTGCTTTGAGTGTCACTTAATGGTTTTTTTTTTTTTTCTTATAGTGATTTTTCTATCCATTTTCAGTACTCTGCTTGTCCCTGGGGAATATCTTTCTGCTGAGCTTACGTTAGTGACCTTCTGCTCCCAAACAGCTATGATAGAAGGAATGTAAAAATGGCATTTTCCCCAGAGTTCAGCTTTATCTTGTGTCAGATTTTTGCAGTAGCTTTTTCTCCATTTCCAGGAACAAACCTCTTGTCTAGAAGCAGTAAAGGCCTTATCATAAGAGAGCAGACTATGCCGGTAGTCCTCCGAGGGTAAAATGCATCATCAGCTATCCTGAGTGAAAAGAAAGTATGGTAATCTGGGCATTTTCCATATTTTGGGAGGACAGGACCAAAGATTCCTTTTTCACAAGAGGAATATGTGGTCTATTGTAGGACATTTTTCCTCATCTAAAAAGATGTTCTTAATATTCTTGTTTGTTTCCATTTCTGATGAACAACAGCTCCTTGTGGCATCAACTTCCTTCAAATTCTTGTTCTCCGTTTACTCCATCGTAATTGACTTCAAATTCTTCAGCCTTCTTTCACAGTGTTGGAACTAAAGACTTGCCCTTAGTGTATATAACTGCCTCTAGTAAATATAATTTTGTGGTCGTTACCTGGTGGAAAGAAGAGAGGAGCAACAACCTGTGAGGAGGTTCTTTGGGGAACATTAAGTGACACTGCATTTGCTGCATCTACGGTTTTAGAAGTATTTGATATGTAAATAAATACACTTGGTTTGACATTTCTTTCAAATTTTTAAGTGGGTGAAGGGGGTGTTTATGTTTCATAACTTCAGTTAGGAACCATTTAGGAAGAAAACTTAATAGTTTTAGATTTATTTAGCAATAGGATTGATCCTAACAAAATTAATATTTCCGTTTAGAGAAACATTGGCTTTATATATTGAGCACAATCTCTTGGACAGTGCATGTGCTTGAATGAAGCTCTTATCTCTACCTGAAACTAGAGGAGGCTTTTTCTGAACTGAAGAGTGATCTCCTGTAAATATGAATCAACAGGCATGTTATATAAATGGTTAATATTAAGAATTGTAAAATTAATGTATTTTTCAGGCTAAGTTATAAGATCTGTGCGATTAAAACTGAATAAATATTAACCAAATATTCAAGTATCTGTCTGTCCTTTGTCAACTCCTCTGAAAAGCTCTTCAGTCAATTACATTTTTCATAATGTATTCTGCTTCATACAGTAATATCTACTAGAACGCGATAAATTTATTTTTAGTGTGACTTTGATAAGCTTTCTAGATTTTCAAAGGGACATTTGATAAAAATACAAAGTTTGTCCGACTTGAGCTACCAAAAGTGTCTGATTCCAAGAACTGTGTTCAGACTAGGATACAGTCACCATCTTTCAGCTAACTTGCCTGTTTGTCCTGTCCACATTGTCTTTGCTGATTTTAAATACAAAGAAGTGAAAATAGTTTCTTAGAGATTCACCTTTATCTTGCTATAATTTTTTCCAAGGAGCAGCAACAATCTTTCTCCGTGATGTTATGTGGTATTTTTGTGGCTGAAGAATAGTTAACCAGAACTGATAAGTTCAGCAACTTACGTTTTCCTGCCCTTTTCAAAATGCATTCCTTCCTCTGAAGGGAGGCCCTTGCATTAGGTAGCACCTTGGAAAGACAACAGACTTGGGGTCCAGTATTAGAATATTTCTACCTGGAAAAAGAGTCCTGGAAAAAAAAAAACACGGCATGTCTATTAGTAATAGTTATTTATTGTGTTCTGTATTCATAATCCATAAAATAGGTGTTATAACTGCCTCCTTGCTTGCCTGCCAGGAATGCAGTTTGGCTCTGCAGCAGCACATGTGCAGAATCCTGAGTGATATCCTGGATTTGCAGGGAAAGGCCGTTTTGCAGCTCTCGCCCACCAAACACATACATGGCCCTTGTTTTTCCTGGACAGTCCGCTGAGCTTGTAAGGGCTTGGGAACGGCTTGGAAGAAAGTGGCTATTCCAGGACTTGGGAAAAGACCTGAACCAAACATCTGCTTTCCTTGCTGTCGCACAGGATTTCAGAATGCAGATTAGCCAGGAAATAGGATTATTTACTTGGAATAATATTTTAATAGTTTAATAACATTGTAAATTAAGTAATATTTTGGTTTAAAAAATCAGTCTTTTCCTAGTTGGTTATTTTCACATAGTTTTCTTTTGTGATACATGGTGTAATATGACTCTACAGATGGATATTACTGAGGATGAAAAGGAGGGCGCTTGATAAACTTCATTCCCTACCAATGGTCCTTTCATAAGTAACTGCAAATTTTTAGTGAGAAATGCTGCTGGCTTTGGCATATGTTAGAAAGCTTTATAGCTTTATTTCTGCCGTTTTATGCATTATTAAGAAATCGATATTAGAAACGTATTCAGTATTTGGAGCAAATTAGAAAATTCATTATTCATTACATTGAAGCCTACGTTTTACTATGGGTATAAAGTGCATGTTCCCACAATTTTCTCAGTAAAAACCTTTTTTAGTGTGTGAATATGGAGGGAAAAGTTGCAGAAAAAGGACTAAGACATGTTTAAAGAAAAACTTAATGTTAATTATGCATGATTCCAGTTACAAGAATGTCAAGGATTTATGCAATGTTTTGTGTACATAATATGCAGATAAACATATATACAAGGCAACTAAAAGCGTGCTGTTAACCACATTTAAAAATGGAAAAGTAAGATTGAGAGGTGGAAATGACTTCATTTTAATTTTGGTTTCATGCTTGGTGCAGATGAACCAGATCTGAACTTTGTATGTTTTGAGTCTGAGCTTTGAGAGACTCTTCAGAATATATTTATCTTGAAGCAAAAGCTTAGAGAATTCAAAGTGAAAATGACATATAAAGGAGAGAAAATAAGAGAAGATAAATCCAATTTTCACAGAAGCATTTTCAGTTCCTTAAGTGAAGACAGGTTAAGGTTAGAGTGACATGAACAAGGTCAAGTTGACATGAACATCATCAACTTGACAAGTGACGTGGTTATGTGTGACATTTGTGTGCGTGAAAATGCACATATGGAGAAGTTTTACTGAAGTTTTCAAAACGAAGGCTTTCTTTTCTTAGCGTGACTAATTTTCAAATCAAAAAGTTTCCTGTCTCTCTGCGTGCTTTGGATGATATTTGTACTTTTGTTCCCATGTAAAACTACTGATAGTAATTTTAACCATCCATTTTAAAAAATTATTTCTACCTGAATGTATTCAGTGATTCATATACCTGGTATGGCAGCAGAACAAAGATAAGCTGTTTCAAATCTAATTAATAATGAATTTATGAATGTAAATTAACTTGGACTTTCAAATAATTTAAATGTATTCAATTAATTGAGAAAATGTTCTGGTGCTGGAATGGTTCAGAGCAGCCAAATGTGCAATGTGTAGAAAGACAAATCACCTTTGAGATGATGGTGTTGAGAGCAAGTTCTGCACTGCAAGCCCTGCATAATGGTTCAAGTCCCTGCTGAAAAGGAAAGCGTTCCTGTTCCTGCAGAATAAGGTCTGCACTCTACTCGTGTGAGCTACTTAGTAAATTCACA